CAGTCTTGATGGAAGGTGATCAGCCCCTAAGTCTTGATGAAAGGTGATCAGTCTCTCAGTCTTGATGTAAGGTGATCAGTCCCTAAGTCTTGATGTAAGGTGATCAGTCCCTAAGTCTTGATGGAAGGTGATCAGTCCCTAAGTCTTGATGTAAGGTGATCAGTCCGTCAGTCTTGATGTAAGGTGATCAGTCCCACAGTCTTGATGGAAGGTGATCAGTCCCTCAGTCTTGATGGAAGGTGATCAGTCCCACAGTCTTGATGGAAGGTAGTCACTCCCTCCTCCTCACTCTACTCCATGTACCACACTGTCCTACACTCCTCACAGTCACCCTGGTCGTCACACACGTGTCATACAGGTGAGTTACGACCTTCATAAGAACCTCCTGGTTTTTGTGTGTAGGGGCAGGAGGGGGAAGAGTCGTATGTGAATAAGCAGGGAGGAAGAGAAACAGAGACACAGGGAGATAGAGACAAAGACAGACAGAGACTAACATAAAAAAAATCCAATAATTTTAAATCTCGTTCAATCAAGGAAACTCTGGGTCTTTCAGGGTAAACTTCATTTTTTTTCCTCCGGCGCGATTTAAATTAGTTTAGCCACGTGTAAACCAGGTGTAAACCAGGTGTAAACCTGGTGTAAACCTGGTGTAAACCGGGTGTAAACCAGGTGTTGTTGATCTGTGTCAGGTGCGAGGTTCGTCAATTCCTTGACAGATGTTTACTCTGTAGCTTCAGGTCTACTCTGTGAATTGTTCCATCCATGGTATTGTGGGCTGTGAATCGTTCCAGCCATGGTACTGTGAGTTGTAAATTGTTCCAGTTACGGTATTGTGGGATGTAAGTTGTTCCAGCAACGGTATTATGGGCTGTAAATTGTTACAGCCACAGTATTGTGGGTTGTAGATTGTTCCAGCCACAGTACTGTGGGCTGTAAATTGTTACAGCCACAGTATTGTGGGTTCTAAATTGTTCCAGCCACAGTATTGGGGGTTGTGAATTGTTCCAGCCACGGTATTGTGGATTGTAAACTGCTCCAGCCACAGTATTGTGGGTTGTAAATTGTTCCAGCAACGGTATTGTGGAATGTAGATTGTTCCAGTCACAGTATTAGGGTTGTAAATTGTTCCAGCCACAGTATTGGGGGGTTGTAAATTGTTCCAGTCACGGTATTCTGGGTTGTGAACAGCTCCTGCATGGTAATGTGGACTGTGAATTGTTCCAGCCACGGTATTGTACCCTCCCTGCACAACACGCTGACACAGTTCCCGGGTTTGCGTGACCTTCCTTAACGCTGCTAAAGACCACCGTCTGATTTACCGGTCAACTTAACCGAATAAACTCCAGATTATCCTCAATCATGTTTAAAAGACTCCCCTCCCCCTATTCATCGGATCCCTCGGGGTTAAAGACCCCCATCTCTTATTCATCGGGTCCCTCGGGGGTTAAAGACCCCCTCCCCCATTCATCGGGTACCTCGGGGGTTAAAGACCCCCTCCCCATCCATCGGGTCCCTCGGGGGTTAAAGACTCCCTCCCCATTCATCGGGTCCCTCGGGGGTTAAAGACCCCCTCCCCCATTCATCGGGTACCTCGGGGGTTAAAGATCCCCTCCCCCATTCATCGGGTCCCTCGGGGGTTAAAGACCCCCTCCCCCCATTCATCGGGTCCCTCGGGGGTTAAAGACCCCCTCTCCCCATTCATCGGGTCCCTCGGGGGTTAAAGACCCCCTCCCCCATTCATCGGGTCCCTCGGGGGTTAAAGACCCCCTCCCCCCATTCATCGGGTCCCTCGGGGGTTAAAGACCCCCTCCCCCCATTCATCGGGTCCCTCGGGGGTTAAAGACCCCCTCCCCCCATTCATCGGGTCCCTCGGGGGTTAAAGACCCCCTACCCCCATTCATCGGGTCCCTCGGGGGTTAAAGACCCCCTACCCCCATTCATCGGGTCTCTCGGGGGTTAAAGACCCCCTACCCCCATTCATCGGGTCCCTCGGGGGTTAAAGACCCCCTCCCCCATTCATCGGGTCCCTCGGGGGTTAAAGACCCCCTCCCCCCATTCATCGGGTCCCTCGGGGGTTAAAGACCCCCTCCCCCATTCATCGGGTCCCTCGGGGGTTAAAGACTCCCTCCCCATTCATCGGGTCCCTCGGGGGTTAAAGACCCCCTCCCCCCATTCATCGGGTCCCTCGGGGGTTAAAGACCCCCTCCCCCATTCATCGGGTCCCTCGGGGGTTAAAGACCCCCTCCCCCCATTCATCGGGTCCCTCGGGGGTTAAAGACCCCCTCCCCCCATTCATCGGGTCCCTCGGGGGTTAAAGACCCCCCTCGGAATTTAGTGCTGGAATAATTTTTGAGAATTTTATATTATTTTAGAGTCTTCAAAGGACAAGAGGGGAGAATTGATGCATATATATTTTTCCGTAAATTCTCGGGACTCGAACCGAGGTGCCGGAACTACGGTTCGATTCCCCGCCGTGTTCTGTTTGTGTGTGTATATATGTATGTACATAAGTATGTGTGTACGTATATACATGTGTATATACCTGCTAGTAATGCCTAAAATGAGGATCCTAGAATGAGGATCCTAGAATGAGGATCCTAGAATGAGGATCCTAGAATGAGGATCCTAGAATGAGGATCCTAGAATGAGGATCCTAGAATGAGGGTCCGTGAAATGAGACTCCTAGAATGAGGCTCCTAGAATGAGGCTCCTAGAATGAGGCTCCTAGAATGAGGCTCCTAGAATGAGGCTCCTAGAATGGGGATCAGCGGAATGAGGAACCGTGGAATGAGGATCCGTTGAATAAGGATCAGTGGAATGAGGATCCGTAGAATGAGGATCCGTAGAATGAGGATCCTAGAATGTCGCTCCGCGGAATGAGGATCAGTGAAATGAGGATGAGTATTCCGTGTGACGGAATATTGAATTGCTGATGAACGAGACACCTGGTGTCTTCATTCAGAGAACGTTTCGCCCACCACTGGCTTTACCAATACAATATTCATGTCACTTGAAGGTGGGAGGTAAAAACGAACACAGGTACAACTAGCGTAACGTTTTACTGTGGCGACGTTTTGCTCTCCGGAAGCTTCGTCCAGCCGTAACTTGGAGGAGTCGAAGCTGGTGACATCAGGAGGGGGCGAGACCACGCACGGTATTGTTCACCACCAGTTCGACTCTCACCACTCACTGGGAAAAAAATACAAACAACAGTCTGTACGTTTCGCCCATGATTTCGAAACATTATCTTCTATGCTGAACCATTTCTCTCAGTGTTATTTCAGTCTCTCTCTAAAAGGTCCAATTAACATGCTAATTTAAATCCCCGTCTCTAAATTGTTTACCTTGAACTACGATATTTTTTAAGTTCCGGACCACCCCACCCCCCAAATATATATATATATAATATATATATATATATATATATATATATATATATATATATATAATAAATTATTAAAACAGGCTAGACCAGGGTGAAGTGTGTTTGCTTGGTGCTTGGTTTGTTGTTTGTGTGAAGAGTGTGATTTCTGGTTGACCCTTCCATCGTGACGCAGGTTCTAACCACTCGCTCATAGCCAGGTTCAACACTGATGCAGGTTCTAACCACTCGCTTATAACCAGGTTCAACACTGGTGCAGGTTCTAACCACTCGATCATAACCAGGTTCAACACTGGTGCAGGTTCTAACCACTCTCTTATAACCAGGTTCAACACTGACGCAGGTTCTAACCACTCGCTCATAACCAGGTTCAACACTGACGCAGGTTCTAACCACTCGCTCATAACCAGGTTCAACACTGACGCAGGTTCTAACCACTCGCTTATAACCAGATTCTACACCAGGTCATATACTCACACATACACAGGAGTCAGGTATGTGCATCAGCCTGCAGCTGAGGGACTGACCTCCAGACTTGGGTGTAAGTATAAAAATGGGCTAGTCTGGAGTTCAACCCCTCACCCTGATTGAGTTGAGGTTTACAGATGGTAGTTTATCCTCGGGGTAGGCTGAGGGACCAGACACCTGCAATGGCTGTAAGTAACCAGGGTTTTTGTCTGATGCTGGAGGGAGTGCAAGATGTGACTGTGTGATGAACACTGAGTGAAGGTGATATACTCAGTGCCTGCCACAACTGCTATTACTCTGACATGCACTCATAAGGCGGTTCCACTCTGTTGTGCACTCTAATCACTCAAAAGCTAAAACCTCGTAGCTCCCAGTAAAATAACTTTCCACTCACTAACAATATTAAATTTCCAATAAGGTTAGAATCCTCGTTATCCGCTGAAAAAATACTAATATTGATCGGAACACATTAAAAATTCGAACACTGACGTTCGCAGAGGTCCCGCCAGGCACCACACTCATTATATGAAGCTCACAGAATTCGTCAAAGCCGAAGCCATAGACAGACATGGAAGCCATAGAGAAAGCCGTCATCATTGGCACCCAGATTAGGCAGGATTTCTAAGAAGAAGGCTCAAGAGGTCTATGTACTGATCTCCAATACACAGAGGCGTGCAAAACGAGCCACAAGGGACGGGGAGGAAATGTGACAGCTCGATTCCTCTGGCACTGTCGTCTGTCTTATGTCAGAAGCTGTGTGACGTATGGAAAATTGATTAATGAAATGGGGAGAAAATAGTCACTGGAAAAAAGGCACCTGGCTAAGTACTGGCAACAGTCCGAAAGTCTTGAAGCTGCTACAGTCCCTCCTCACTTGTGTGGGAGTGTTCCCATACAGGCTATTGTATACAAAGGCTTTTTTTTTTATCAACGGTAACGAGTAAGACATACATGTCGAGTCACGTTTTAGCTGTGAAAACTTTTCGCTCTATGGATTACATAAGAATCTATTTCACTAAGCTCAACACAGAGCGAAACGACTGAGGAAAAAATGCAAGAAAATGAACAAGATTGAACCGACGTCCTGTGAGTAGCACACACAACACTGTGCCACCCAGCCATTATGAGAGACAGAAGTGTTTGTACTCACTGAGGACAGTCATGGGAGCGTTGGAAGTCTCAGTACGGAAGCTGGGATGTTCAGCAATCACTTCACAACGATAGTCTCCCGAGGCTGACACTGTCAGTCTTGTCAGTGACAACATCACCCGGTGCTCGTTACGGAACACCTCCTGCAAGGGGCAGACAACACACTCATGTTAGGAAGGGAGAAACTCACAGTATGGGTCAACACATGTTATGGGGGGAGAAACAGTATAGGTCAACACACTCGTTATGATGGGAGAATCTCACAGTATGGGTCAACATATGTTATGGGGGGAGAAACAGTATAGATCAACACACTCGTTATGACGGGAGAAACTCACAGTATGGGTCAACACATGTTATGGGGGGAGAAACAGTATAGATCAACACACTCGTTATGACGGGAGAAACTCACAGTATGGGTCAACACATGTTATGGGGGGAGAAACAGTATAGATCAACACACTCGTTATGACGGGAGAAACTCACAGTATGGGTCAACACATGTTATGGGGGGAGAAACAGTATAGATCAACACACTCGTTATGACGGGAGAAACTCACAGTATGGGTCAACACATGTTATGGGGGGAGAAACAGTATAGGTCAACACACTCGTTATGACGGGAGAAACTCACAGTATGGGTCAACACACTCATGTCATGGGGGGAGAAACAATATGGGTCAACACACTCATTATGATAGGAGAAACTCACTCACAAAATAAAGCAAGCAGACCTCTGACAGAGCTACAAGTTGCAAAAATAAATTATTTTTGGCTCCACGTTTTGCTCCCGTCATTGAGACGATGACAGCTAGTATTATTGCTATTCTGCCTGTCTGTCTGTCTGTCTGTCTGTCTGTCTGTCTCTCTCTCTCTCTCTCTCTCTCTCTCTCTCTCTCTCTCTCTCTCTCTCTCTCTCTCTCTCTCGCTCTCTATCCTCCCTCCCCTCTTCCCTTGTCTAACAAATTGCTAAATTCTATCCACCAGCGTGTTATCCAGGCCTGTGTGGACAGCCAGGAGGCAGGATGACAGGTCCTGATCCCTGACCTGACCCAGCTTAACCTAACCAGCTCCCCCCATCCCTTCCTGTGAACCAATACACAGCCTACCACTGTGTCTCCCCACTTCCAGTTATCGCAACACACTCCCTTTGTGTCCAGTTTTACTAGTTAAAAATCAATTTTAACTCACACCATTAGTTTCACTGTAACTCAGTTACGACTAATTCGTGATTTTCACAGACATACTAGAAATCTGTAAAGCCAATTTCTTCTAAATTTTTCAATAAGTTATGATTGTTTAAATCCACCTTCCCTCCTTCCCCAGCCTGAAATTCTGGCTTAAGCCGCCACCCCATTCCCCATTAGACTGAAAGAAAGGCTGAGGTAGTGAATCACAGTGACACGTGCAACTGTAGGAGCACCAGCCTGAGGGCCAGCACTTGTATCCACTCTCTCCATCCTAATGCTATTGCCAAACCACTATCCAATCCCCTGAGCCCCGAGGTAGTGAAGGGACGGGAGGGAAGGAGGGAGGAGGGGAGGCTTCAGACCCTGGAACTTCAGTAAACTGATTTCAATTTGCCTAGAATTCTCTGAAGCCACGTGTGACAGTGATGAATTACACAACTGACTAATATCTGGGTATCTTAGACTGTAGACTTTTTGCCATCCTGTGCCTTTATCAATACAGTGTAGATAGGCACTTCATTATCCAATATATATATATATATATATATATATATATATATATAATATATATATATATATATATATATATATATATATATATATATATATATATAACAACATTGCGGCTAGCCGAGGCTCGAACCCATGTTGTTTTGGCCTGCCTCATGGTGAGCAAAACTCACACGATGCTGTAACCCACAGGACCACCCAATCCTACAACATCACGCACCCAGCAGAGCTAGGTGTTGTACCGAGATCCGAAGAGATTTAATTGTGTGGGTACCTCAGATTTGATTTCATTCTACTCCCCGTTTGGTGTACTAGCCTCCACAAACATGGATTTGAGCCCTCGGCTAGTCGCAGTGTTGTTATTGATTAAATACCACTCGTTCGTGGTTACAATACGATATATACTGCTTGTGGAGGCTAGTACACCAAATGGGGAGTAGAATGAAATTTGCTCAGAAGCACCCACACCATCGTATGTCTTTGGATCACGGTACAACACCTAGCTCTGTTGGGTGCGTGAGCTTTGTAGGACTGCGTGTTCCTGTGGGACAGAGCTTCGTGTGATTTTTCTTCACCATGAGGTGGGCCAAAACAACATGGGTTCGAGCCCTCGGCTAGCCACAGTGTTGTTATATATACATATGAGTGAGGTAGTCATACCTACACTTGAAGCTGTGTACAGCAGGTGCCGCCAGCGTCTTGAAGTGTGACAGAGAGCCACAGGGATTCTACAGAGATCCATATTAATCCTAAGGTAATGAAGTGTCTGTCTGGCTTTACCGCCTGGCCTATCCTGGCCTATCCTGACCTATCCTGGCCTATCCTGCCACATCCTGGCCTATCCTGACCTATCCTGGCCTATCCTGGCACACCCTGGCCTATCCTGACCTATCTTAGCCTATCCTGGTCTATCCTGGTACATCCTGGCCTATCCTGACCTATCCTGCACATCCTGAACTATCCTGGCACATCCTGGCCTATCCTGGCCTATCCTGGCACATCCTGGCCTATCCTGGGATAAACCATACATGATTACTTTTATGGAGGAAACGCTAAACTCGTAGGGGTTAGTGGGGCGCGTCATGCATCGCCTAGAAGAATGGAAGGTGACCATGTTTGATCCAGGGTCCTTGAATATAGAGCGATGGATAATGCTTTAGAGCTTCAAGTCATGTCTGACTCTGTGCAGAGCTTTATCAAGTCATATCATATTATGCTTCACTTTATAGAGCGTTAGTAAGTTATGTGTCAGTGCGTAGAGCTTTATCAAGTCATGTTTCACTGTATAGAGCTTTATCAAGTCATGTTTCATTGTATAGAGCTTTATCAAGTCACGTTCCACGGTGTAGAACTTTATCAAGCCATGTTTCACTGTGTAGAGCTTCATCAAGTCATGTTTCAGTGAGTAGAGCTTTATCAAGTCATGTTTCACTGTGTAGAGCTTCATCAAGTCATGTTTCAGTGAGTAGAGCTTTATCAAGTCATGTTTCAGTGAGTAGAGCTTTATCAAGTCATGTTTCACTGTGTAGAGCTTCATCAAGTCATGTTTCAGTGAGTAGAGCTTTATCAAGTCATGTTTCACTGTGTAGAGCTTCATCAAGTCATGTTTCAGTGAGTAGAGCTTTATCAAGTCATGTTTCAGTGAGTAGAGCTTTATCAAGTCATGTTTCACTGTGTAGAGCTTCATCAAGTCATGTTTCAGTGAGTAGAGCTTTATCACGTCATGTTTCACTGTGTAGAGCTTTATCAAGTCATGTTTCAGTGAGTAGAGTTTCAGCAAGTCATGTTTCAGTGAGTAGAGCTTTATCAAGTCATGTTTCAGTGAGTAGAGCTTTATCAAGTCATGTTTCACTGTGTAGAGCTTTATCAAGTCATGTTTCAGTGAGTAGAGTTTCAGCAAGTCATGTTTCAGTGAGTAGAGCTTTATCAAGTCATGTTTCAGTGAGTAGAGCTTTATCAAGTCATGTTTCAGTGAGTAGAGCTTTATCAAGTCATGTTTCAGTGAGTAGAGCTTTATCAAGTCATGTTTCACTGTGTAGAGCTTCATCAAGTCATGTTTCAGTGAGTAGAGCTTTATCAAGTCATGTTTCAGTGAGTAGAGCTTTATCAAGTCATGTTTCACTGTGTAGAGCTTTATCAAGTCATGTTTCAGTGAGTAGAGTTTCAGCAAGTCATGTTTCAGTGAGTAGAGCTTTATCAAGTCATGTTTCAGTGAGTAGAGCTTTATCAAGTCATGTTTCACTGTGTAGAGCTTTATCAAGTCATGTTTCAGTGAGTAGAGTTTCAGCAAGTCATGTTTCAGTGAGTAGAGCTTTATCAAGTCATGTTTCAGTGAGTAGAGCTTTATCAAGTCATGTTTCAGTGAGTAGAGCTTTATCAAGTCATGTTTCGGTGAGTAGAGCTTTATCAAGTCATTTTTCAGTGAGTAGAGCTTTATCAAGTCATGTTTCAGTGAGTAGAGCTTTATCAAGTCATGTTTCAGTGAGTAGAGCTTTATCAAGTCATATTTCAGTGAGTAGAGCTTTATCAAGTCATGTTTCAGTGAGTAGAGCTTTATCAAGTCATGTTTAAGTGAGTAGAGCTTTATCAAGTCATGTTTAAGTGAGTAGAGCTTTATCAAGTCATGTTTCACTGTGTAGAGCTTCATCAAGACATGTTTTACTGTGTAGAGCTTTATCAAGTCATGTTTAAGTGAGTAGAGCTTTATCAAGTCATGTTTCACTGTGTAGAGCTTCATCAAGTCATGTTTCACTGTGTAGAGCTTCAAGTCATGTTTCACTGTGTAGAGCTTCATCAAGTCATGTTGCACTGTGTAGAGCTTCATCAAGTCATGTTTCACTGTATAGAGCTTCGTCATGCTTCAGAGTGCAGGGTTGCTGGTGATGTTGTCCAAGAATCGGTGTCAGCTTGCACCTCCGTCACCAGAACTGTCAACAACTTTCGTCTGTGAATTTTTTTTTTTCGTTTATTTCCTCTTCTATCTTTCGTCAGTTTTAATCCTACATTCTCTCTCCCTCCCTTCTTCATTCTCCCTTCTCCATACTCCTCATTTCCCTTTTCCTCCTCTACTTCCTCCTGTTTCCTCCCTCCATCCTTCCTCCCCTTCTCTCTCCTCATTTCCCTCCCTCTCGCCCCCGCTCCCCTCCCCCTTTCCCCCTCCCCCAGTAGGGTCAACAAACATTAATATCACTTCCCCCAGACAAATCCATGACCGACCCCCGGAAGGTCAACAAGCAATTTCTTGAGCAAACTATGTTATTGACACTGCCACCACTGCCACCACTGCCACCACTGCAACTACCACCACTACTACTACTTCTGCCACTGCTGCCACTACCATCACTACTACCACTGCCACCACTACCACTACCACCACTACCGCTATCACAACCACTGTGGAGAAAATTTCTCCAGGACGGGGGTATCGGCCCCCCTTCAGCCCT